AAGTGGAAAATCTTCCATTTGGATGTCAAATCTGCATTTCTCAACGGATTGCTTGAGGAAGACATTTATGTTAAACAACCTGAAGGTTTTACAGTTGCAGGTGAAGAAGACAAGGTGTACTACCTTAAAAGGAGCTTGGTATAGTAGGCTGGATTCTCATTTGCTGTCTCAAGGCTTCAACAGAAGCCTAAATGAGCCTACTTTGTACTTCAAAAGGCAAGCGGATGGGATGTTGATTATGATATCAGTTTATGTCGATGATTTGATGATTACAGGTGAAAATCCTTTTGCGGTTCAAGAAGTTAAAAATGAAATGCTAAAAGTTTTTGAGATGTCCGATCTAGGAGAATTGTAGTTTTTCCTAGGAATGGAGATATCACAATCTTGTGAAGGAATTTTCTTGTCCCAAAAGAGGTATGCCTTGAATCTGTTAAAAAGGTTCAAGCTTGACAAGTGCAAAGCTGTTGGAACTCCACTTGTTATGAATGAAAAATTAACGAAGGATGATGGCGAAGAGAGGGAAAATCCAAAAGTTTATAAAAGTCTTATTGGAAGTCTATTGTATCTAACAACTTCTATGCCAGACATAATGTTCGCTGTTAGTTTGTTATCTCGATATATGCAAAGTCTCAGCACTAAGCATTTTGGAGCCGCTAAAAGGGTGTTACGGTACATTAGAGGAACGATTAATTATGGAATCTGGTATAGAAATGTGGAGAATGGAGCTCTTATTGGCTATTCAGATAGTGATTGGGGTGGATGTTTGGATGATTACAAAAGCACTTCTGGTTACTGTTTTCGTTTGGTTCAGGCATTTTTTCTTGGAGCAAAAAGAAGCAAGATATTGTAGCACACTCTTCAGCAGAAGCCGAGTATGTGGCTGCTGCATCTGCTACAAATCAAGCAATTTGGTTAAGAAAGATCTTTTTGGAATTGTAACATCCGGCAAATTGAAATAACTAAGAAGAGGCTTAGAATTTGAAAATTTTCTTTTTGGAAAGAATTTGAAAATCTGGAAAATTTTGGCTAAGTATGGAAAATGTGAGTTTTTGTCCAACTTTTAACAGACATAACTTCTAGCTCAGGATGATTTAGGTGTAGTTCCGATTATGGTTGCATAGCTCGTGGAATGCTGCAATGCTTATCGGGGACATGGACATGTCAAGGTTGATGGTCTATGTGCAGCAA